ACTCATAATGCCCCTGGTGTGTGAGAAATGCTGTCTTCGGAATGTCGGCCTTGTTGAGTCGGATCTGATGATAACCAGCTCTCAGGTCAAGCTTCGAGAAATAACGGAGTTCTGCTAACTCATCGAGCATGTCGTCGACACTAGGAATAGGAAATCGATCCTTGATAGTCGCGACATTTAGAGTCCGATAGTCGGTACAAAACCTCCACGTATCATCATTCTTCTTAGCTAATAATACTGGTGATGAAAATGGACTCGAGCTATGCTGAATTAACCCAGACTCTAACATCTCAGCTACTTGCCTTTCGATCTCAGTTTTCTGAAAGTTAGCGTACCTATATGGGTGGACGTGCACAACATTCTGCTCATTGACTAGAGGTATGCGGTGATCGAACTCACGATGGGGTGGTAGTCCCTTAGGTTTGCCCAGTACTCCTTCAAACTCCTCGAGAAGATTGCGCACGTCTCCTTGCTGTTGCTCGATATTGCCTACGTGCGCCCCTGTGTTCTCGACTACTACTGCAAAAATTTGGCCGCCACCTCGCCAAACTCTTTCGATACTCTTCAACCCAACCTCCTTAGTAACCTTTTCTTCTCCAGCCTTAAGAGTGACTCTCTCTCCTCCAGATCTGAACTCCATGACTCCGGTGTGGTAATCCATGGTCACCCTCCCAAGTCCTTCCAGCCATTGCACTTCTAGAACCATGTCTGGTCCAACCAAGGGTATGGCATAGAGATCGGCTTCCACAATAACGCCTTGAAACTTGATTGGTATCTTTCGAAAAGACTCGGTGCATTGTAGCCTTTCATCGTTGGCTACTCGAACTTCAAAGGGCTCAATCTTCATGGTTGGGAGTTTCAGCTTCTGAGACATGCCGGCATTGATGAAGTTGTGTGATGACCCGTTGTCTACGAGTACGATCACTCATCGGTCCTTGACCCAAGCTGGTAGCCTCATCGTCCTTGGCCCTCTGATTCCAGCTATTGCATGCATCGAGATTTTATCTTCTTCATCGTATGCTTCAATGTCGTCCACTGGCTCCGGCTCTTCCACGACCTCCAGTCTCTTCATCGTCGGAGTTGGCAACCTCTATAACAAAGGCTTGCTTGCATCGATGACCAGGCATGAATTTCTCCTCGCACTTGAAACAAAGACCTTTCTCGCGTCGGCATTTGATCTCCTCAGGTGTGAGTTGCTTGACGATTGGCCCCGGTGGTCAAGCGTCGATGTCCGGTCTTGCGCCCACTGTTGATTGGCTCGGGCCTACGCGACGTGTATCGGTGAAGCGGGTGTCTGCCCGTCCCCTTCGCGTGGCCGCTAGGTGGTCCTCGCATCGTCAGGCAACTTCCATAGCGGCGTTCATGGTCTCTGGCCGTTCCAGACGTACCTCAGCCATGAGATCATACTTCAGACCGCCTAAGAATGCTTCTACCAATGCAGTTTCGGGCCAGCCCCGTACTCGACATGCTAAACGCTCAAATTCCTTCAGATAATCACGTAAATTACCTATTTGCCTTATGCGAGTCAGCGCCTCATCATAGTTGTGGTAGTTGGATGTACCAAAGCGTGTGAGTAACTCCCGCTCAAAATTGCCCCAGGTGATGACTCGCTGTTGGTTGTGGTAGACACTTGTGAGCCATTACCACCATACGTTGGCCTCACCATCAAGATAGTATGCTGCATACCTTACTCGATCATGGCCATTGATTTTGTTGAGCTCGAAGTATTGACAGCACGGTTGAGCCAAGCCTCGGGATCAGTGTCGTTGAATGTGGACAGCACGAGCCTTGGCTTGTCGGCTCTTGGTCGATCTCGATAGTTGGACGCCTGGGACCATTTATCGAAGTCTTCTTCTTGCTCGTAGTCGCCGCGTCGTCGTTCCCTGTCGGCCCGCTCGTGTGCGCGCCTTTCTTCGCGCCTCAGCAATGGCGACCGTTCGTTGTGCTCGGCGTGCCGGTGATGCTCGCGCCTCGGGGGTGCGTCGTGCTGACGCTGCTGCTGGAACGCCCGCAGCACCTCGTCCAGGCGTTGCTCGAGTCGCGCCACCGCCGTGTTGGTGTTGTTTTGGCCTTCATCAAGTGATCCAGCCTTCCTTCCATAACCTCGCCATGCTGCGGACTTGAACATCGAGGTTATCGATCTTGTCCTTCATCTCCTTGTTGGCCATGGCTTTCTTCTCTTGTCTTCGCTCCTTACTTTGTGGACTCATCTTGAGGATGATAATATATATTTTTATTTTATTTATTTATTTATTTATTTATTTATTTTGATATGAGAGACGAAATAAAGAAGAAAAAAAAGGGAAAGGGGTAGAAGAAAAACACACGATCTAACATCTCTCAATGAAAACACTAATGATGAAGATCGTGTGTTCCGATTGCCGATAAGCCACGAATCCGCACCTTGAATCGCCGATAGGTCTTTCTCTAGCCACAACCGCGCCTATTGAAACGAATAAAATTGCAATAGAAATCTAGAAGAAATCTAAGACAAAGTGTTTGAACAAATGTTCGGATTTTTATTGATAAACTGAATGATGAAAAATAACATGGGGAAGGGCCTTTATATAGGCACAAATTATATCTAATCCTAATCTACCTAGAGAACTAATAAAGCAATAAAATATTAGTAATCCTAATTAAGCTAGAAATCATAAAGCTAGATGGAAACTAAATAACTTGATGTGCACTCCAAGTAACTCTCTCTCATGCTCTCTCACGCGGCCGACTCATGCCACTGCCTAAATCCACACCGCCCGCGCGCCCTTGCCCTAGTCCTCGAGGACTAGGGCCACCGACTTCGCCAGCGCGTGTTCGCGCCCCTTGCTTTCCGCGCATGCCTGAGCGCCGGTGTCGTCCTCGCGTGCGTCCCCACACGCTCGCCCCGAGTTGCCGCACTCCTCGAGGACTGGGGTCTCGCGCTCCGCACGTGCACCATCATCTGGCGTGTCGCGAAGGCCATTGCTGCCAGCCGCCTTATCGCGCGCGTGTACCCCGCCTACTTTGCTGCGTGCCTCGTGGCGTAAGGCCTCAAGCCCCACGCGCGCTTCTCAGCCTCGCGCATCTCCCGCGCCCGTGCTCGCGTGTAGTGCACCTATGCCAGCGGCCCGTGCCATCCTCCTGCGTGCGTGATAGGCGCGTGATGCAGAAGTAGATTTCGAGCCCCGATGACGAGAATGTCCAAGAGCCGAGAAAGCTCGAGAAGGCCGAGAAAAGGGCCAAAACTATGCA